ACATTCCTGCATAAAACATGTTTCTAGCGTGAAAATGTTGCGCACTTCTTATCATATTCATATAACAATGGAAGATCAAGTTGCATGTGGTGTGGCTTTGCACTATTTATCCAATATGTGTCCATATGTCTGAAATATCCTGAATCAGCAGTACTGTTTTGTACTGTCACATCGCGTGAGATTCCCGCTTTTTTAAGATAAATTTATATAACATTAATGAACATCAGCAACTCACCAGTAACTTATTTAATGTATGTTCCTGTAGGAAAAAAATTTAAATAATTGGAAATCCGGCAACCGCAATAATCAAACCCTTGGGAACAAATGTGGTCGGAACCAAAGTTCACTGGTCTGTGCTGTGTTCTCTGAACTGCAATCAAGCGATGGACGTCTTCATTCTGATTGCTTGCCGCCTAACCGCATCATAGCTCATTACCATAAAGTTGACTTCATTTCAACTCTCCTCGACGCTCACACCGGCGAAGACGCGCCGCTCTGCTCCTCGCCGCTTATCGTCGCCGGCTCTCATTGAAAATGAATGACTTCCGGCTACTTTGACGCTCTCGCCGCTTTCGGTGTGAACGTACGTTAAGACAGTGGGCCTCCCTTTTGACACAACTTATCTATTGGCTCCCCCCTCCTCCCAAACACACGTGCACACACACACACACACACACACATATATATATATATATATATATATATATAAAGACACAGACAGATGTCAGACTGTTAACTCACTTTTATCATCATTTGCATGAAAGTGCAATTATTTACAGAGTAATAACAAGTATTTTAATATAACGTTTTTAAAACTAGGATGATGGATCCAAGAACTGTTCATACCAGTCAAAACAGTCGAAGTTTAGCGGGTCTCATGCTGTCATTAGCCAAAATATCTTGACAAACCACACATAAAGGTCGTGGTTCATCAGCTGGTCCTGTCCACGTAAATCCTAAACTGAAATACTGATCGTCATATCGTCGTCTTTTGGGTTTAAGCTCTGAACTTGAAGGCTTTGAATCGGGGGGTCTCAGAAACCGACCCATTGTATTAGCAGGCAAATACCTGTATTGGCGGGCTTGCCAAACAGAAGCGAATTCACAGCTATGGCCTTCTGGGTAAAAAAGGTTTTCTTATTTTTGACGTATACTTTTTTTTAGCTTTGTTTAATTAAAACGTTTAAATATAATAAAAAATACATATAATAATTAAACTTAATAATTATATTTTTATTATATAATATTTTTCCCGCGCCTCCCCTGACATGCTCTGGCACCCCCAAGGGAAGGCGCTCCTCACACTTTGAAAACCCCTGGACTAAAGGTTATGTACATTTGCTTTTATATGTTCTAAATCACATAACTGGTATAAAAAAAAATATTCAATGAACTCATTTCATCAATTATAAATTAACAGCAATGTTTTTTTACATGTGTTGGTGTGATACTTTGTAGTGTGCAATTTAACGTGTTTGCCTCTAGCAGTCGCCAATGGAAATAAAACAAACACACACAAGAATCACACGTACGCCAGACATGAAGTTGGCGCAGGCACACTCACGTTCATTTCATCGTTAGTAAATCCAAATGTAAGCGTGAAACCTGGCGTACGCAAAGTTTTTGTGCGTACGCAGCGTTGATACACGAGGCCCCAGTATGAGTAAATGCTTACTGAGCTTCATCTTAAAGTCCAGGGGCCTCATGTACGAAGACTTGCGTGGAAATCATACTAAAACATTGCGTATGCACAAAGCTATAAATGTGCGTACGCAGAAAAAAATTCAGATGTATGAAACACTGTGTACGCCGAATCTCACGCATATTCTTTGTACATCCGAATGAACGTGAAACTGAGCGCAACATGCACGAGCACAAAATCCCTCCCTGCCTCCTCCCCCGTATGAATATGCTAATGACTCTACTTTGGCAAAACCCAATGAAAAAGCAATGGCAAAAGCAAGCAAAAAGAGAAACTTTGAACAGAATGTGAATTGGAGGTGCTCCTTTCGGAGGTAGACCGGAGGAAAACGGTGTTATTTGCAAGTTTGTTCTCCGGAATTAACAACAAAAGAAAAAAATTGAGTGGGAGAGTTTAGCTGATGCGGTTAACACAGTTGGGTCTGAACATCGCACTGAGTGAATTAAAAAAATAAATAGTGTGATTTATAGGTGTAAATGTTGCAGCAATCGTAAAAGTCTTAGTGGCGCAGCTCATAAGACGCATGTTAACATGTTTTGACATGTTTGAGCATGAACTCGGTTTGAATCCAGCGTCTGATGAACTCTTTCTTGTTTTTTCCCCCGCTACATATCAGATTTTGACAACTATTTATCACGAGAAAGACAAGTAGGAATCATCAATAAGTTAGCTCAGATTACATTGGGAAAACAGGCGACCGCTGCAAATTGCGCTTTAATATTTAGCTGGTCAACTGTATGGTATGGAAACCTTATATACCTGCTAGATGAACCCGTCTCATACAGTTGCCATTGCAAGGCTCAGACACTTTGTAAAGAGCAATTTAACACAACTGCCTCTAGGAGTCGCCAAGGGAAATAAAACAGACACGCACAAAAAATGTGCGTACGCCAGCCAGAAAGCTGGCGTGGAGCTGCGCACATTCCCACGTTCACTTCATCATTAGTAAATCCAAACGTGATCGATTCTGAGCGTGAAACCTGGCGTACGCAAAGTTTTTGTGCGTATGCAGCATTGATACATGAGGCCCCAGAATGAGCAAATGCAGACAGAATTTAAATACTAACGTGAAATGTCCCTTTAAGTATAATTATTTTTCCTTAATATTTGAGTGCTTGACTTTAAAGTGCATGTTGTTTTTTGCAACAAGGGTGAATTTCAGCCAACATATTTACTTGAATGGCTGTGATCATGCTTTGTATATATGTCCTACTCATTTCAGACTGGTGGTGTTGCCTTTCATCACTTCATTCTCCTCTTGACAGAAAAAATGAAGCATCTGAACGTCTCTCTCCTTCTGCTCCTCGTCTTCTGTTTATCGAGTGCTGAGAAAATTTTCTGGACTCATTTAGGAACGCGCTGTGTTGAAGACTGCAAGGCCAGTTGGGGCGAATACAAGTGCAAGACTATCGATAAAGATGGACAGTCCCAGAAAATGTACTGTTCACCAAAAGCAAACGTAGACTACTGGGACAGGGAGTGTCTAAATATGTGCAGGAAGCGTGGATATGACTACTATTGGTGTGAAACTGATTTGTTTCATTGGGGATACTGTGGGCTGATAACGGATGACAGACATTATGGATCCCAAACAGGTGCGCTGTGTTACAACCACTGTAAACGAAGAGGTCAAAACTACTATTGGTGCAGTACCGAACAGGGATGGGATTATTGTTCACCGTCTGAAAACACAGATTACAAGAACAGACAGTGTAAAGAAGACAGCCCATGTGGAAAGCACAACCACAAATACAACTGGTGTGAAGTGGAGGGTGGCTGGGGTTACTGTGGACTCGTGGAGCCAAGGACGTTCACCCACTGGACTTACAAAAATGAAGTTTGCATTGACGAATGTCGGTATTATGAGAGTAAAGATTACTACTGGTGCCACACTGATAAATATGGGGATGGGTATGACTGGGACTACTGCTCTCCAGAGGTGAATGTAACTTATAAAGGTAAGCCCTGTCACTCAGATCACTCCTGTGGCTTACATGACCAAAGTTACAACTGGTGCTGGACCTCAGACACAGAATATGATTACTGTGGGCCCATTGAAGAAGCAGAGTGCACCTACGTCACTGATACACATCTCAGCAGGAGAACCCCTGAAAGCAACCGTCAGGTAGTTGTGATATGCACAAGGGTGGACAAAGGAAACAAAATAATAACTGACTTTACTGCTGAGCCAGCCCCTGAGGACATCACAGATGCTAGTCGATTGAGACACGAGGTGGAAAACTTAATCAGACAATGGCACAATGGGTATCTGGTGGACGAGGCCCGCTCTGATCTGATACGTTCGCCTGCTGTTCATGTTGACTCGCAGAGTCCCATAAACCGCAACAATCAGAGATACTACAACCTGCAGGTCCTGCTGAACACGCCACAGACCCCTGGTGAAAGCACCACCGTGTCTCAGATCCTCGTGCCTCAGGGAGTCCCAGCCCGTTACATTCGCAGAGCCTTTCTGGAGAGCCTCAGGATGCGAGCTCGCATCACTGTTGAAGTTTCGACATTGAATCATGGTTAGATCCATCAGTTAGATTCACATATAACACAACACACTAGACAGAGTACAGTAACACTTTTACATTTCTGCTGTACAGAACAAATACAGTAAACCAATTCTGGAAAGTTGAATCAATGAATGCTGTTTTAAATGAGATATTAATAAAAGTTTTCCTCAAAATTACTTTCAGTTTTTGCTGATTTTGCAAGATGGTGAGCGGATCTTTAATAATTTTTCTAGGTTGTCCTTCAAAATCTGCCATTTCTAGAATATTCATGTTTACAATGTTACTAAGTTCCCTAAAAAAGGCAGGATATGTCACACCCGGAGAGACGGATCCAAACGCAAATGCTGTTAACACAAAAAGAATTTTATTAACTCTTCAAAACAATGACGAGCCAAGGCTTGTGACTCAAATGAAAATGATAAGATCGCTCGGCGAGATCGAAAGGTAACTCAGCAACAGTGTCCAAATCGGCGGGCGTGAGAGAGGTCAGGCAGGCGAACATCAATCGGGAGGCAGATGGGATAACGGAGGAAAGTCAAGTTCAGCGTCGGACAGGCGAAGTCGAAGGTAGGTGGCTGGCCGGGGAGAATCCAAAATGAAACAGAAAAAACACAGGCAACCGAGCAAAAACTGGGCAGAAGAGAAAAACAGAATCAGAACATGAAGTAATGCATGACAATGACAGGAATCAAGATAACGCAGCGAGAATAATCCCGGAGATAGCCTGAATAATGACAGGACACACTAGCGGCCAGAAAGTGGGAAAAGGAGATCTTAAATAGCAAGGAAATTAATGGAGACCAGTAACAGGTGCAGCAAGCCGTGTGCGCACTGATTCATAATAATGATCAGCTGAGTGCACGCTGCAAGAATGAAAAGCAGGGAGAGGGAGAAATAAAGAGAAAGATCAAGCCAGTGGCCTGACAGGATGTCCAAAGATAAATCTTTGTCTTAACATACAGTCTTGTCAGTGAAGAGAGTGTTTACTAAAAGTCTAATTTGATGACCAATTAAATGTTTACCATTGCACCCAAATTAAATAAATTTGCTTTCATCACTAAAGTGAACTTTCAACTGGTTCTTTGTCCACACAATATGGTAAATTCAGTATTTTGATTCATTCTGCTTGTTATGATTACCAGCGATCTGCAAGAGAACACTCCCTGTCATTCCCCCGCACTACATATCCCATCATGCCCGGCTTTTGCGCACCAGTTTCAGGTCTCTTCCTGATTACACACACAGCTAAAGCTGATCAGGACTGATTCATGGACTATATATTAATTTAGTCACTGAAACTGCAGGTTTGCATAGACAAAGTGTGACGAGCTGAAAGCGGTCACTTAATGTCCACATGGGGGCGATGTATTTTAAAAAACGCCTCTCTATCGTGGGAGATGGATAAAGGAAGGAAGTGTTTGTTTGCCAGGAAGTGAACATGCGGAGCTTCGGCTAGGAGCTCAGGCAATGATGGCTCGGGCTGAAATGAATCGTCTGGCTGAGAGACAATGTGTTTGTTTGGTTAACTACTGTAATCTTCGGACTGGTGAGCTGATCTAACTTTAATTTGTGACTAAAACAGACGGCGAAGCAGTACGTCTGCGGCACTACGGCAACTCAACTATTTCTCTCAATGTATGGTTTATGAGGGAATGAGTAAAAGTCTGCTCTCGAGTGAAACATCGAACTGTTTGAACGAACTGTGAGCATCCGAGTTATGAGAACCGAATGAATCATTGAATTGTTTGAACGAACTGTGAGCATCTGAGTAAATGAAACCGAGTGAATCATTGAACCGTTTGACGAACTGTGAGCATCTGAGTTACTGAAACCGAGTGAATTTTGAACTGTTTGATGAACTGTGAGCTTCTCGGTTAGAACTGAATGAATCATTGAGTGGTTTGAACGAACTATGAGCATCTGAGTTATTGAAACCGAGTGAATCATTGAACTATTTGACAAACTGTGAGCATCTCAGTTAGAACAGAATGAATCATTGAGCGGTTTGAACGAACTGTGAGCATCTGAGTTACTGAAACCGAGTGAATTTTGAACTGTTTGATGAACTGTGAGCTTCTCGGTTAGAACTAAATGAATCATTGAGCGGTTTGAACGAACTATGAGCATCTGAGTTATTGCAACCGAGTGAATCATTGAATTGTTTGACGAACTGTGAGCATCTCAGTTATTACTGAATGAATCATTGAACTGTTTAAACAACTGAGCATCTTGAATACTATAACTGAATGAATCATTGAATTATTTAAACCAAGTGAATTATTGAATTGTTTGACCTGAGTGAATCATTGAAATGTTGAATCGACTGAATCATTGAACTGCTTGAATTGTTTATATTGAATTTCTATATAACAGTAATGAATGTAAGGTTCTAACAAATTGATGTGAATCAGTGGTTTAATCTTGTGCATGGATCAAGTTAATTCCAAGTCGACAGAGGTGCCTCTTTATTTGGTTTATTATTATTATCATTTGATTGGTTGAATTATTCAAATGCTTGTTGGAATGGGTTTGAAAATTTTTCTGTTGTAAAACATGTATAGAGTGTTATTTTGAGGTTGTAAGGAGACCTAATCGAATAATAGTAGAATGCAATTTAAACTGATTTAGTCTGATTTATTTTGTCTTTAGCTCTATAAGAGGTTACTAGGGTTATTACACTGCTAGTGTATCCCAGGTAGCACTGACTTTATAAATATTATTTTTTTATTTTTTACTTTTAAATTTATATGTTGGCACCCCTACCCAGTCAGATCGCTACAACAGAACTAGCACTAGTTATACTTTGATCATTTTTGAGCGAGATGATAATGGTCTAATCCAGTAAAATAATTGATGCTGAGCTAAAAGTGCTCCTGCTAGACCCAGAGATAGGCTGAATGAAGATTGGAAGAAAGAAAGAAAGAAAGAACACACACAGATGGGTTCACATAACAGACACCTGTTTAGTCTGCATCATAAAATATGATACATTGTTTTATCAGGAAGTTGATTCACGTTGGAGGATCCAACTCATAGCTTATTGATTTTGTGGCTAATCTGCATAGATTTGTACGATCTCCTTCGTACAATTTAGTTCGCTTTGCTTATCCCCAATGACGGTTGGGTTTAGGGGTGGGGTTGGTGCCATACCTCCTTTTAAAAACCGTACATTTTTGTACGATTGAATATAAAATAGGTATGTTTCCTTGTGAGATCAGGCTGAAGGATTGGCACATAAGCGTAAAAAAGAGATGTGTACCTGCAAAAGACTTTGTTAAATCTGAAATGTGTGAGTTGGGGTGGTGTGTATGGAGATGTTTTCTGTCTGGTGGATGAATATTGCGTCCTCTTTTCCATTAATGCTCCATCATCTGCATGAAGTGAAAGTCCCATTCCTACCTTTTTAATATTGTCAAAAACATCATTAATCATTATATTAGGCAAAATGGGACTGATTGCACTACCTTGTGGTGAACCATCCATTTAAAATATTAAAAGCAGCTGATAACTCTCTTCAATTTTAACTTAAAGTCTATCAGTGGTGTAAAGTAACAAATTACAAATACTCAAACTACTGTAATTGAGTAGTTTTTCCTCAGGAATTATAATTTAGTTAAGTAGTTTTTAAAATGTGTAGTTTTACTTTCCCTTGAGGACAGTTTTAAAGCAGTATCGGAACTTTCACTTCATTACTTTCCTTCAAAGTGCAGTCATTATTTTTTCTTGTCTATGGGGATTGGCTGAGTAGTCTTGTGATTCCTGCCCAAGCAAGTCAAATACCTCAAGACATGGGCGATTTATAATTGCAGCAAACTGTTTGGAAGCATTAAAAGTGTCCAAGAGGATGTCCAAAATCCCAGAGACCGTTTAGATGCATGTCAGTGATGAGAAGATGACGAATGTTTACTGTACAATGACCGAAATGGCCTTAAACATGTAGCAGTCACGAAATGTAAACGTAAATGTTGTGGAAACGTTGCATTTTGTTTGAAAATGAAAATCGGGTTAACATCAGAACCCAACGTCAGGTCAATTTCCAACATCCAACCTAAAATCAACCAAGTATCAAAGTCTAATGATGTTACAACTTAAAGTTGTGTGGACATCACCACTATAACGTCTATAAGAAATTGGATTTTGGTCACCATATCTGACAAATAAATATCAGTATTTGATTTCAATAGGACATTGGTTTAAGATGCTGGCTTGCTGTTAAAGTTTGGTCACTTTCTAACACAACCTAAATACTTAGACACTGGCTAGACATAAAATTTTGATCACCTGACAGGTGTGAATGTAGCTATCGCACTTGGGTGCACACCAAAAAAAAGGGGTTTCGAGACCTAGGTGAAGAAGTGGTCGCGGTCCGCTTTTTTTGTCCGCACTCTAGTGAGATTGCTACATTCACACCTGCCCAAATGAACCGCATCAAGAGAGAAAACGAACTCTAGAGCGATTCTACAAAACTAAATGAGGCAGGTGTGAAAGCACCCTAAGAGGAGCAGATTGTGTGCCAAGTGAAGTGTATTTATAAACTAATTTCGAGAGGATCATGTGCTTATGATTGCTTGCAGCCGGCCCCACATTATTCAATTTATGATTCACCAGACGATTCCGAAGCCACTATAAGTATCCCAAGTTTCATATGACAGCCATCTTCGTTTTGAAGAATCCCCCCTTCCACCCTTACTTTTCCTCCTTTCCATGATGGGTGGCACGGTGGCCCAGTGGTTAGCACTGTTGCCTCACAGCAAGAACGTCACTGGTTATACTCCTTACCAAGCCAGTTGACATTTCTGTGCGGAGTTTACACGTTCTCCTAATGCTCACGTGGGTTTCCCCTGTGTTCTCCAGTTTCCTCCAACCGTCAAAAAACATGCAACCTAAGTTAATTGACTAAACCGAATCGCATCATAGACAAGGTCCAAATAAGTAGTTGTCTCCTAAGAGCAATCACTATCTGTTCATTAGCTACTACTTTGTCGTAATTCGACTTCTTATCAATTAGAAATGATCAGATCGGAGGTTTTGAATATCAGAAAATAGACTTTATTCTCCATAATAAAGCCGAGAAAGAGCAGAGCAGACCCCAGAGCATTCTCAAGTCTCTCCTGGAAAATTCCTATCTCTGGTTCTCTCTTTCCAAAGTCTCTCTAGCTCCTTCTAAAGTCTCTATGTTTTCCACAATCTTTATACAGGTTATTTTCCACACCCCTAGGTGTCTTGTTTTAACTCTCGACCTTTTTATGATACGTTTTTACTCTATGTGGTCCTGCTATTCTTGGCTCTCAGCCCACTAGCTCATGTCAACAGAGATGTTACAGGTCTATGTCAGCAAAGCATAGATGCAACTTATGCAAAGGAACTAAGTGTTTACATTAGGGATGTAACGGTATTGTAAATACCGTCATACCGCAATATTAATTTTTTTCGATAATACCGTAGTCGCATGACTCGGTAAAACTATAGGTCTTCTGAGAAAATTTGCTCAGGCGAATGAAGCGAACGGGAGGTAGCCAAAAAACTACAATTCCCATCAGCCCATGCTTGACCATCATCCCTTGCGGTCTGTTGTCGCTACAGATCCAGTAATGCGGAAATGGAGTGTGCTGCTAGAAGCGGGGATGAAAAAGTGCTGGAAAACTCTAAAGCGTGTGTTGTTGGCGTGCACGTACTGAATAGCGGTGTTGTCGCGCGAGTTCTTATCAGTTGTGTTGTCGCGCACGTACTGAATAGCGGTGTTGTCGCGCGAGTTCTTATCAGCTGTGTTGTCGCGCGCGTACTGAATAGCGGTGTTGTCGCGCGAGTTCTTATCAGCTGTGTTGTCGCGCGCGTACTGAATAGCTGTGTTGTCGCGCGCATACTGAATAGCTGTGTTGTCGCGCACGTACTGAATAGCGGTGTTGTCGCGCGAGTTCTTATCAGCTGTGTTGTCGCGCGCGTACTGAATAGCGGTGTTGTCAGCACACTGTTCAGATTGATGCAGACATGAGACCTCTATCTCACTCATGGTTTGTCCTCTCAAATGGGGGAAAGACAATGCACAACGTTACCCACTGCTGTCAACCTGGGCCAAGTCATATCTCTCTTGCCCCAGAAACCTCAGTCCCAAATGAGAGGGGGTTTTTTTCTGTTGCAGGGGACATTGTAAATGCCCAGAGATACCAGCTTTTACCAGATTATATTTATATGATAATTTTCCTTTAAACCCATCTCTATCTAAGTGAGTGAGTGATTAAATGTTGAATGTGAGGAGTTTTCAACAATACTAAATTGAAACTTTATTTTTTTACATGGTTTAATATTTTTTTGTTATTAAAATTGAAGTTCCTGTTTCAAAGCTAACAGATAGATGACTAATTTGTATGTCATTGACACTTTTGGCACTTTTTTGGAGTATTTTCATAAGTTTTGTTTTTTCAATAAATACCGTACCGTGACATTCATACCGAGGTATTACCGTACCGTGAAATTCTGATACCGTTACATCCCTAGTTTACATACATTATGATGATAGGATAATAACTTGATAATATGTTACTCACT